CTATACAGGGTTGTTATGAGTTGGAATTGACTTGATAACACTTCACAACAACAGCAATCATGGTATTAGTGAGTGTAGATTCAAGTTATAGTATTGAGTTTTCAGTTCATTAAAAAATGATTAAAATTTTAAAATAGCAACTCATATCCGAAAGCATGAAGTCCTAGTGTGGTGCTGTGGGTCAATGTGCAGGGCCTCCAGGTCGGTTTGAACCGCATGATCAGTGTTTCATGCTCACCAGCTGCTCCTTGGAAACCCTATACAGGCTTGGTATAAGTTTAACTCAGCGGCATTTAAAAACAACTCCAAAGCATTTAAAAGCATTATCCTATGAAGTTATAAAAATGACCATTTAAGTGCTGATGCTTAGATTTTGATCAGGATTCAGCTATATTACTCTTAACCATATTTACTGTTGTGTTGTAGAAATAGTAAATATGTTGTTAATGTTTTCTTGAAAAAGAGTATGATAAGGTTTCCCAGAGTAAAAACAATTTTGGATTTAAGTAAGGATACATCCTTTTCCCATAAGTAATGGCTGTTTGTAAATGTCATGGCATACATGTTCCTGACATGAATTTTATTTTAAAGTTTATATATTTTTGATAAACTACTTTTTCAGCATACTTTTTCTTCCATAGGAAATTCCTTTATCAGAAATTTTATCCCTGGAACCAGCAAAAGATACATCTTCAATTCCTAATGGGACCAATCCTCATTGTTTTGAAATCACAACAGCAAATGTAGTATATTATGTGGGAGAAAATGTGGTTAATCCTTCCAGCCCACCACCAAATAACAGTGTCCTCACCAGTGGCGTTGGCTCAGATGTGGCCAGAATGTGGGAGATGGCCATTCAGCATGCCCTGATGCCTGTCATTCCTAAGGGCCCATCTATGGGCTCAGGATCCAACTTGCACAGTAAGTCTGTTTTCCAAGTATACCCTTTTCTCAAAAACAGAATGAAGAACACCTCTTTCTTAGTTATCTAGTGCTACTATAATTGAAATACTAGAGTGGATGACTTTAATAAACAGAAATTTAGTCTCTCACAGTATATAAGACTGAAAATCCAATTTCAGAGTCCAAATTCCCCCCGGTTTGTGGGGAAGGGCCTTGTTTCTGTTTAGGATCTGTAGGCCCAGCATTCCTTCAAGGTCCCCATGATTCCTAGCATCTATCTTTCCCTGGATCTAGTTGCTTCACAGTGCAGGGACCCCAGTTCCAAAGGATACACTCCCCTCCTGGCTTTTTTATCTTGGTTATAGTAGATCCCTCTGAGTTTAGCTCATTTTATATCTCAGTAGAGATTAACTCAAAATACACCCTAATCATGTAGATTGCATTTGGCCTCATCAACATCAGAGAAGTGAGGATTTACAACATATAAGATAGTTGTATCAGATCAGAACTGACCACATCAGATCACATCAAGTATGTGATCGCATCATGTTGTATGTCGCCATGGAGGTGATAACTACATCTTAACTGCTAAAGCACCGAGAATCCTGGCCAAACCAAGTTGACAGAAGACCTTAACTATCTCAAGCTCCTTGGGAATGACTTGGTTTACTTGAGAACATAGGATCTCTAAATAAAAGCTGTATCCCCATCCAAGGAAATTCCATTCCTCAAATTATTCTATATTCTTTTATCTTTATCTGAAATTAACATTTTAACAACTTGATAGAAAGCCTATATGGATTTCATAAAATAAAATTAATCTAGTCAGTTTGAGGTTAACATAGAATTTGCAAATGCAATCTGTATGTTTCCCCAAAACACCTACCATGTTTGTGGAATATTAGTATACACAGTACTGGGGAACTCTGAGTAACTCTATCCCAGGAAAAACATCTCAGTTCATTAATAGTGTGAAATAGATTTTGCCAAAATGCAACCCAAACCAAATATTAAGGATGAGTTTTAAAAGGAAAATTTGGAGGTATATCTGTATAAAATGTGATTTAAAATCTCACAATTAAGACTGAAGTAATCTTTGCTTTTCATATTATGGTGTTTGTTGCTCTATCCTTGTTTTTATTAATTTATCTCTAAGGAGAGATTAAAAACATAAAATATGTATGTTTATTTTGAGGCTAAGCACTTTGCTTGAAACTTCCATTTTAGCCCCAAAATAACTCCAACAGGTAGATGTTAGTGATGTACCCATTTCTGAGATTAAGTTACCTCAGCTCATGTCAGAACTAAGAAGTAACAGTTAGCATTTGAGCTCGGGTCTTTCAAATTCCAAACATTGTGCTAAGCTGATCAAATATTTTTCAAAACCAAGTTTATAGCCAATCTTTAACTTTAAAAGGAAAGAAATATTCTAATAGGCATATTTTCCTTTTTAAAAATCTCTTAAATTTCTAAGAGCTGTTTTAAAACAATCCTGCAGAGTGATTGGTAGGTGTGTGTTAACTTACCTTGCTGTTTATTTGTTACTGATTACCTCTCTGTGTTGTTGTCTTTTGTTTTGTTTTGTTTTTGACATTTACTTCTAGGAGATATTTCTGTGAGTATTTCAGTATCAAACTGCCAGATTCAAGAAAATGTGGTGAGTACGGATTTACTAATATAAAACTGGGAGCATGACTCTTTATGAAATGTTGTTGTTGTTAAGTGCCATCAAGTTGGTTCTGACCCATAGTGACCCTATATAGGGTTTCCAAGGAGCAGATAGTGAGCTTGAACCACTGAACTTGCAGTTCAAATGGCTTTGCAGTTTGGTACATTAACCCACAACGCCACACCAGGACTCCTTATGAAGTATTAGCATCATAAAATAGATTTTTTTATGTATATAACATTATAATTTTTCAATATTTTCCAAAAAATAAAGTAGGATGCATTTGGATGTTTTCTTCCAATAAATTTTTAAATATTATATAACACAAATTCTTTGAGTGATTTGACAATAATCTGTTCTGTATTGTCAAGCCAAATATCTACTATTCACCTTAGCTAAGGAATTATAACATAGTGCCTGATTTTTCCCACATTTTCCCTGCTTGGTACTGGGGTTTTAACTGATGTTAAATAATGCCTAATAAAATAAATCCTTGATCAGTATGAGTAGCTCAGAATACAATTGCTTTCATTGGTTTGTTGCTACCTAGGAATGCTGTCATATGGAAAGGAGTTTCAATTACTCTTACATTCCCTGAAACATATCAAGGCAATCCTAAAATAACTGAGCAGATCAGATTTCATCAGACCAAATTCTAGCCCCTATGTATTATAAATCTATTGTTTAAGCTCAGTTTTTAAAAATTTGGAAATCAGACATATTGTGAAATGGTTAAATTCTATCATGCATTTATTTGTTGTACTTCATCACTAGAGCAAGTAGACAAAAAGTATTGAGGCTTCTCTCACCACTCCTTATGACCCAGACTTACTCCTGGTGGCCTGTAATACTTATGACCAAAAGAACCAGTTTACAGTTTTACTTAATAATTACCTGAGTTTATTTTTTGAAGCATAAGCTTCCTGAAACAACTTACTATGAGTACAGTTCTGTAGCATTGGCAGATTGTTGTCGTTGTTAGATGCCATCAAGTCAGTTCCGACCCATAGCAGCCCTGTTTAGGGTTTCATAGGAGTGGCTGGTGAGCTTGAATCACCAGCCTTGCAGTTCAAACGGCTATGCAGTCTGGTGCATTACCCCACAGTGTCATATCAGGACTCTTGCTAGATTAGCTTGAAGAAATATAAAGCCAAAAATGAATTAGCGAGAACTAGGTAAGTTTCATAGAAAAAATTAGATTAATTTTTCTGCTCTTGGTTACAGGATAAATTCCTAAACAGTTGTGCATGTTTATTGCTGTTGCTTTAGCTTGAAAGAGATGTGAGGAAATACTCTATAGACTTCTTGGGAAATTCCAGGAAGAAAGATGACGTTTCCCAGTGTTAGAAACCCTAAGGAGCAGTTCTGCTCTGTTACTATGAGTCACAATTGACTTTATGGAGTGAGTTAGGGTTTGGTTGGTAGGGTCATTCTACCTTGTTCCACGTTCACTAGTGTCCATTGAAAATTCTGGGTCATCCTTGAGTTATCAGAGAAAGCCCAAAAAGAACGTTTGCTATAGAGAGTGAACTTGAACTTTTCTAAGTAAGGATAAAGAGAACAGATAGGAGTCAATAGGATATGCAGAGGGTAGGGTTTTCAGTAAAATAACTCTTTTTTTCCCTCACCAAGGGAAAAAGCAGTTTAAGTGTGGAACAGAAGCAATAAATAAGATAGGATGCAATCAAAACACTAAAATAGTGTTTTCATCAGCTTGGTCATCAAAACCATAAATTTAAAAATGAAGGAGCTCTGATAGCGTAGTGGTTACAAATCGGGCTGCAAACCTTAAGGTCAGCAGTTCAAAACTACCAGCAGCTTCGTGGGAGAAAGATAAGGCTTTCTACTCCCATCAAGATTTACAGCCTTGGAAACCCTGTACAGGGTCGCTATGGGTCGAAATTGACTCGACGGCACTTAACAACAACAACAACAATTTATTCAGTAGTCATTATTTCAAAGAGAAAAAGTAACATTTGAAACTTGTTACCCTCAGGAATGGGGAAAAAATGGGAAAGTTCTGCTATTTCACGTACAAGAATTTCATAACGGATTGTCTTCCTTTTAGGGTGTCATTCTCACAGCATTTCAACCTCATCTTCCTTTAGAGTCATTTGAATGGGGGTGACCATTCTATCCAGGAAGGTGAAAGTGGTTGGAATTAGGACTGACCTAGACGTGTGAATAGGAATCATGATTATTTAACCTGTAATTGTCAATTAGAAATCCCTTTTTGAATATATATAGTAAATGTCATATGGCTATAAGTCTTATTTATCTCCACTGAAATTCATTTGAGGACACATTAGAAAACCTCTGTCACATAAAATTAGAGGAGATTTCATTATATTAGTAAAGAGTGTGGTTTGAATACTATGTTGTTGTTGTTGAGTACCGTCAAGTCGATTCCGAACCATAGCGACCCTGTATAGGGTTTCCAAGGAGCAGCTGGTGAGTTTGAACTGCCGACCTTGCAGTTCAAATGGCTTTGCAGTCTGATGCATTAACCCACAGCGCCACACCAGGACTCCATGTTATTATAGACTTATTGAAAATTTGCATTTACAATTCAATCATTTCCATCATTTAAAACAATAGAGACTATCTATGTACATTAATAAAATCATAATTTATGAGGGCTAATATTTTCTTCTACCTGATGTTTGTTTTTTCATTGTACATGTACCCACAGGACATCAGCACAGTATATCAGATCTTTCCAGATGAAGTACTGGGTTCTGGGCAGTTTGGAATTGTGTATGGAGGTAGGTCAATTCACTAGCTATTTTTTACATAACTTATGTTTTTAATAACTTGTGTTTAGACACAAATATGGAAAAATATAAAGGACAAAACTTATGTGTGTCTATTGTTTTGGTGTATGTATCACCCTGTGTGTTTTACCTAACAACTTTTAAAGTTATCTTAGAATTGTCACTATTTAGAAAATTGAACTTATTTCTGCTTTGGAAGTGAGTTTTCTGCTCCTGAAAACCTATTTTGCTTAGAATCTGATGCTCTTTGCACACAATGATGAAGCAGTTTGATTTATTTAGGTTAAATGTTCAGAAAACACAGAATTTGTAACTAAAAGATAAATTAGTTCTATTTTATTTTAGTATACTAGGGAGCTTCATAAAGTTCATGGAAAAATGGAATTGAAAGATAATAGAACTTTTCACAAACTTTTTGAAGACCCCATGTTTTTGATCAGAATACTAGAGAATCCCATTTATATGACTAAGGAAATAAATCCAAAATTTGTTCAATAATTTTACTAAAGTATCACTTCCTCTAAATTTGAAGTTAGAAAAATTTTTTTAATGAAGCACTTTTGCATTTTTCTTGTCAAACCCTTTGATAAATGTATTATTTTAACTTTTCTTGTTTTACATTTTAATCAGATCAATCATATTTTCAAATCTTTATGAAACATTCAATTTTATTGTTTTGCCTGCCCTGTACATTGATGTTGTAACTTACAGTTTCTTAGATCAGCAACAAATTGTCTTTTTTTGTGTGAGGTGAGCATACCCAAAAATAATCACAGTATCTACCCAATATTATTTCTCATCATATAATATTGTGTTTTTAATTTAAAAAAAATTAAATCACTTCTACTCCATTTTGCAAAATAATTAAAAAAAAAAATTTAAACTCCCAAATATTTCTTTTATATAACTGTTTTTGGAAGCATAGCACACATAAAACGAAAAAATGCCATAGTGATTTTTCTTAAAGCGACTTCTGGAAGCTAGCATAGCTTTGGGGCAATGTAGAATCATTCTAGTGCCCCAAACATTTATAATTTTTAAACGAAAAATTTTGTAATCATTTTTGTTGATCATTAACTTTGATGGAAAATTTATGAGTGAGCTATTACTAATATATAACAGTATAGTAGGGGAGACCTATTATTAGACATAAGCATCTACATAAGCAATACAATATAAGCATAAGAATTAAATGCAGAAGATAATGGCAGATTGCTGTTGTTGTTGTAGCTAAGTGCCTTCAAGTCGGTTCCAATTCATAGTGACCCTGTGTGGGGTTTCCAAGGAGCTGCTGGTGAGCTTGAACCACCAATCCAAACTGACTGCAGTCCAGTGCTATAACCCACAGCACCACACCAGGACTCTACTGAAGGTGTTGTTGTTGTTGTTAAATACAACATTTGTAATGTTGAAATAATGGAATTTTGAATTAGTTTCTGTATGATAAAGAAATAGCTTTCCTCTTTTTTATTGACCATTTTCAATGTAAGGTAGCGTAATAGCTTGTTTCTAAAACATATTTATGAAAAAAATATCAGGCACACATAGCTTTCAATTCCCCAATTATTTTGTGTTTTAAATTGTGGCTAATTTTAAACCACATATTTGACTTAAAATATTGGAGCTAAGAATTAAAATCTTTATGGATATGAGTCAGTGCTCTTCAGGTATGTTAATTTATTCAGTGAAACCTCTTTATAATGCCTGTAAATGCCCTTGTCAATTTTGTTTTCCTTTAATAAATACACTTAATAACATTGTGCTAATGTCTCTATTTTTATTTTAAAGGAAAACATCGGAAAACAGGAAGAGATGTAGCAATTAAAATCATTGACAAATTAAGATTTCCAACAAAACAAGAAAGCCAGCTTCGAAATGAGGTTGCAATTCTACAGGTAACTTCTTTGGTTCTCATTTGAGGCTATAAAACCATCATCTTAACTTCTGCAAAAGAATGAAAACTTATCCAAAAATCTAAATCACAGATATTCAAGAACGCTTTAAATAACTGCAAAGAGGAATCAAACGCTTTAAATAACTGGCTAGTATCCTTCCTGGTCTCTATATTTATATAAAAAAGAAGTTGTTCTTTATATTTCATGCCATGTCTTGAAATATTATTAATAATCATTTTCACTGATGTTTAAGTATTTGCCCACAGCAAACAACGCTGAGATCATTTTGTGACCTTGCTTTGATAAGCATTCCTCTTTTCATACTGTGATAAGTATATGAATGTGAAGGTAGCTGTCAGCATATCAGATAAATGTGTAAGGTAAATCCAAGAATCAGATCATCTTGGTTTTATTAATGTCCTCTTTGTCTCTCACTGTTAGCCTTTCATTTAGTCTTGAACATGGCACTTCCCTCCTCTAACTGATATAGCATCCCCTTTTTGCTAACAAGATTTTGTTAATAAAAGGTGTTATATGGTATGTGTAATCTATCATCTTAAAATCTTTTTCTGCAAACCAAAGGGAAATTGAACAATTTTTTTGCTAACTGTGCACAACAGGCTCTCCAATCTCAAAAATCTAGACCCTGGAGAAATACCCATTTTTATATAACTAATTCTCTTCTTATTTTTAAAAGGTTTTATTGTGAATTGAGTGACAGTTTACATGGGAGAATATCAGTTTTACATTTATCATATTTCATTTCTTTGCAATGACTACAGTCCTCTCCATGCATCATCATTCAACAGCATTTGCTTCCATTCCCTCTGTTTTGTTTGTTTTTTGGATGTATACTGAAGCACTCAGGAATATATAACCATACAAACAACCGAAGGGTATACCCTGTAAGTCTGCCCCCCGGATGCCAGCACACAGCCCCTCTCCCTCTTTGAGTCTAGATTCCCAAGCCGTTCCATCTGTCCACGTCATTGTCTCTGCCTCCATCTCTGGCTTCGCTGCTTCTCTGGGTAGAGTCCTGCACACCACTCTTCTCTCTTGATGGTCCCAGGGACCTCCGCTTCTGGACTGTAAGATCAATCACTCTTTTCCATTTGTTACAAAATATCTACCTTTACATTTGCAACAATCGCAATCAGTCCTGGTACCAATTATTGCTGTTGAACCACAAGAGTCTTATCCCTATCTCCTTTCAACCAGCCCCATCTAGACAGGCTGGAAACCACTCAATGGAGATTATACTTTCCCCTGCACCCTCTGAAACTGCACCTCTTGAAAAATTGCAAGCCAGTCTCTTTGTGCCTTTGTAGTCCAGTCCCCCCTGCCATTTTGAGTAGCCAATGTCTAAGTTGTTCATCCCTGTCAACCCTGTGTACAGAGGGGGTGGGAATGATCCTTGCTGTAAAGATTCATTTCCTCTTTTAAGCTACTACATCCGTAAGTACAGGTCATGTTCATCAAACATAATTCTCTTCTTGTCATGCAAACAGATTATAATGCTATAATTCATAGTTTTATTGAAGACTTTTCACTTGAACTTTGCTAATGAAACAACACAGATTATAATTCATTTATTCATTCACTTAACTGCCATTCATTGTGTTTCCAACTTGCTTACAAGAAGGTGAAAAAGATGTAATTTCTGCCCTGCAGGAACTTATGTATACAGAGAGCAAACAGAATACAATAAGTGTGTACAGAAAGCTTACTATACATGAAAAAATAATACTAGACATTCCTGGGACCCAGGAATTCTACAGATGATGTTTTGACCACAAAGGTAAAATAGAGAATTATCACAGTGTTCTCTCAGTTTACCATGAGAAGAAAGTCACATCTTAACATGCTAATTCATGGCTTACTGTTTGCTAATTAGTTATCAAAAAAGCAAGCAATTATTCTTAATTTAGCAACATTGACATATGAAAACTTAGTCACTGACATATCCCAAATCTGGTTTCCTGCTCTTCTTGTTGACACCCTCAGGTGATTTTCTGGAAGCAGATTTTTTTTCTCAGCATACTAACCTCCACAGACCTGTTGTAGCTCTGTAAATAAGCACTGGGCTGCTAACCATAAGGTTGGTGGTTCAAACCCACCAAGTTGCTCCTTGGTAACCCTTTGCAGGGTAACTATGAGTCAGTACTGTCTCAATGGCACTTCACAACAACAACCTCCAGAGAAATGAGCCCTGGTGACTGTGAGTATGTGCCCAGGTACTAACTGAAAGATTAGTAGTTTGCACCCACCAGCCATGCTATAGGAAAGCTGACCAATCAAGTCTGCTTCCATAAAGATTATAGCCTTGGAAACTCAATGGGAACAGTTCTACTCTGTTCTTTAGGGTCACTATGAGTTGGAATCTGATTGGCAACAATGGGTTTTGAATAATCTTCAGACTTAGCATATGTACCAGAGATCTTCAGCCTTCATTACAGGAGATGAGAGGAGACAATGTCATGGTTCAACATGACTACACTGATCTGAAGAAGAGTTGCTAGATCTTGAGAGTGAAATAATTTTCTGTATTTAGATCTTTTTATTGGTTCTCCTTACACGTTCAGTATATCGTTAGCTGCTGACTCTATACCAAAACTAAAAAACAAGTCCACTGCTATCCAGTCAATTCCGACTTAGAGAGACCTTGTATAAGGTTTCTAAGACAGGCTCATCTCTCTCCTGTGAACACTTGGTAGGTTTGATCCGCCAGTCTTTTGATTAGCAGCCCAATACCTAACCCACATCACAATCTGACTCTATAATGAGGTTGGAAATCAAGTATCTCTTATATAAACTCTCCCATCTCCTCTTCTAAATTCTAGATACAACAAACAGCTCTATTTCTTACTTAATTATAATGTAGTTTTCTTAAAATAATTTGTGTAGATTGAAAGTCAAATTCTGCCCATGAAAAACTCAGACCTTTCTCTTATTATAATCTAGAAGCTTAGATATTTTCAATCACTTTATCACTCAACCCTAGATTCCTTAAACCAGTCTTTGCTTCATTCATCAAACTATTATGTACTGAGTATGTATGATGTATCCAAGCAATTTTTCTAGGTTCAGGTAAGGAAACAACACAAGTCTTTGGTGTCATGTCTCTTTCACTTGGCCATAATTTTAGGTGGATGCTTGTAAGACATTCAATATGTTGACTTTTTAGTCACATAAAGTGAATTGTTTAGTCATATAACGTCTTTTTTGGAGGTCTGGTAGGGTAGTGGTTACAAATTGGGCTGTGAACCTCAAGGTCAGCGATTCAAAACTACCAGCTGTTCCATGGGAGAAAGATGAGGCTTCCTGCTCCCATAAAGATTTACAGCCCGGGAAACCCTGTACAGCATTGCTCTGAGTCGGAACTGACTCCATGGCACTTACCAACAACAGCAAATAACATCTTTTTTAGACTTGAAATAATGATATGCTGATACTAAACTCAGGAACTCATACTTTATTATAAAACTGCCAAATATTTCAAATATGTTGATAAAAAATTGGGAATTTATCCTGTCTCCCAGGTGTAAACAAACCAAAAGCAAGTGGGAACTCTTTCTTTTTCTTTTTCTTGTGAAGTTTTACAGAACAGATTCTCAGATTTATATTCAGCAAATTATAAACTTTGTTTCATCTCAATAATTACAGTCCCCTTCATGTAACAGTAGTTATCCCACTGCCTTCCTGTGGTTCCTATTTCCATTCCAATCCTTCTGAGCATTGTCCTTAGGTAAATTTCACCCTTTTGCTTTTGAATGGTAGACCTAACCTTACTAATGTTGTTGCCCCCCATCCCCACCCCCGTATATTACTCTCTATCAATTGGGTGAAAATTTGGCCATGAGGGTGGGTTCCATTCTAGACATGAAAGATGGTCCAGAATCATAGTCTTGGGTTTCTCTTTCTGACCAGTAAGCCCAGTCATTTTTATAATTTTGAGTTTTGAGTAATCACATTTTTATCATTAGCTGTATATTGTTTTCTGAAAACTTACCTATCAGAAAAGATTAAATTCAATATCCAGAGACTTCATACTTACCTCCTTCAAGTCTTTCCACAAATATATATGAATTTTGACACATTTTTTAAAATAATAGCCTACCCAAATCCCTTAAACCGTCTCTGTCTCTATATTCATGATTCCCCTATGCTGATCTATGTTTTCTTCTTTTTCCATAAAACTTATTACCTTCTAATTTATGAAATAATTTTATTTAATATTTATTGTTTATTCCTGTCCCTGTCCCTGTCACTAAAGTAAAGATCATTAGGGTAGATAGCATTGTTTCATTTGCAAATACATTCGCATCACCTGATACTATTCCTGGTACACATTACCAAAAAAAAACAAATCCATTGCCATAAAGTCATTTCTGATTCAGAATAAGCCTATAGGACAGAAATAGAAGTGCCCCGTAGAGTTTTCAAGGCTGTAATCTTTACGCACACAGATTGCCACATCTTTTTCCCATTGAGTAGTTAGTTGGTCCAAACCACAAACCATTTGATTAGCAGCCAAGCACTTCACTTCTAAGCCACCAGTTCTCCCTTGGTATACATTGTTGTTAAGTGCCATTGGGTTGGTTTCAAATCCATAGTGAGCCTGGAGTGGGGATGGAGGAGCTGCCAAGGAACAGCTGGTGAATTTGAACTGACAACCTTGTGGTTTGCAGTCCAGTGCTTATCCAACAGTGCCACACCAGATAATACATTTGGTGCACAGTAAATATTCACTGACTGATTTAATTAAAATAACACAGAAACCATCTTATCATGTAGAATGAATCATATATTCTTCAGTCCGTTGCAAAAAGCTTGACTGCATTTGGTATTATTGGTGAAATAGGTGGAGTCCTGGTGCAGCACTATAAGATAAGCACTTGACTGTTCACCATCAGCCACTGCTTGGAAACCCTATACAGAGTCTCTATGAGTTGGAAGTGATTGAACAGTACTTAACAACAACAACAGTTGATTGGTTGGTT